TTGGCACAAATGCCCGATATGCCCAAATTTGAATACTGGTGGGGGGTTGATTTTGTCATTTGGGAGTTGTAGTTGCTGGGATTTATAGTTCACCTACAATCAAAGAGCATTCTGAACTCCACAACAATGGAATTGAACCAAACTTGGCACACAGAACTCCCATGACCAACAGAAAATACGTGTTTGGTGGACATTGACCTTGAGTTTTGGAGTTGTAGTTCACCTATATCCAGAGAGCACTGTGGACTCAAACAATGATGGATCTGGAGCAAACTTGGCACAAATACTCAATATGTCCAAATGTGAACACTGGTGGAGTTTGGGGGAAAATAGACCTTGACATTTGGGAGTTGTAGCTGCTGGGATTTATAGTTTACCTACAACCAAAGAGCATTCTGAACAGGTGGAGAAATAGAATTAGGCCAAACTTCCCACCCAGGTTCCCCAAGACCAACAGAAAATATGATCAGAAAATATGGTCTTTGGTGACCCTCTGATACTCCCTTGCAATCCTCAGGTTGAGAAACACTGCTTTAAATGCATTTGAGAGCCAGAATGGTATAGTGACCTGAGTGCTGGACTATGACACTGGAGACTAGGGTTCAAATCCTTGCTTGGCTCAATATATGATCTTGGATAAGTCACACTCTCTCAACCTCAGAGAAAGACAAAGGCAACCCCCCCCTTTGAATAAATCTTCCCAAGAAAAACCTGCAATTATTTCCAGAAATGTGTTAGATGCACACAGCAACAAGAAATGTATTTTTGAATAACAATATCCTAAAGAATCACTGCCTCCCCCTCCATTCTTGGACTACAACTCCTATCATCCATAGCACCCATCATTAAGGATTATAATCTATTATATGCATTTCTACTTTGCTTTTTAAGATGCCTTGAGTTCTAGCTTTAGGGGAAAGATGAGTTATAATTAATCCAATGAAATGCAATAGGAACACAGTTTGGAAAAACAACTTTTGGAGGTTAGCCATGCAGGCTGGATTATTCTAGGAACTGTCGTCCAGAAGGTACCCTTTCCAAGCTTTGAAATGGAGGCAGGAGAAGCAACCAATAGGGAGCAAATTCATTTTCCCACCCCCAGAACCACATCAAGTACACAAAACATCAACTGCATATAACAGGGCTCAGCTCAGCTTTTCCAGGCTTCTGTCAACTTTGGAACCTTTCTAGTGCTATTAAAGATACAATTTTTGAGAATGTTCAGAATTAAGAAGTGTTCTGTTGACCCATCATGATGCAGTGGTTTGAGCATTGGACACAGCATTTGAAAACTATTGCTTCTCATGAAATCCACATTGGTCAAGGAATCTGAAGCATTTTGTATATCTGAATGTGGAGTGCAATCCTATTTATGTCTACAAAAAAACAGGGATGCATCTACAGTAGACATGGGCAAACTTGGTGTTTTGGACTTCAACTCCCACAATTCCTAACAGCCTACCTAATGCAATTCCCAATAATTCCTACCAGCTATTAGGAATTGTGGGAGTTGAAGTCCAAAACACCTGGAGGGCCCAAGTTTTCCCATGCCTGATCTACAGGGTGAATTAATGCAGTCTGATGCCACTTTAAGACTGAATGTTGTGGAATTATGGGAGTTGTAGTTTTAACCTTCTCTGTCAAAGAATGCTGATGCCCCACAAAACTACAAGTCCCATGATTTCGCAGCATTGAGCCACGAGGTTCCAAAGGTAAAACCGACAGATGTCTGGCCTGGATGAAGCATGTAATAAAGGGATCTGCTTCTTCAGAGCACTTCCATTTGTTTTTCTTATTCCAGCCCCTGGTGCTGCAGCAGGTTAAACCACTGAGCTGCTGAACTTGTTGTCGGAAAGGTTGGTGGTTCAAATCCAAGGAGTGGAGTGAACTCCCGCTGTTAGCTCCAGCTTCTGCCAATCTAGCAGTTTGAAAGCATACACATGTGAATGGATCAATTGGTACCCCTCCAGCAGAAAGGTAACGGCACTCCATGCAGGCATGCCGGCCACACAGCAGTTCTTCGGCTTAGAAATGGAGATGAACACCACACCCCAGAGTCAGACACGACTGGACTTAACGTCAAGGGGAAACCTTTACCTTAATGGTAAGAGCGGTTTGATGCTAGAAGTTGATGGAGAGAGGATATCCTTCATTGGAAAACTTGAAGAACAGACTGGATGCCTGTTTGGTTTAATTCTGGATAGGGCATTAGGTAAAGGTAAAGGTTTTCCCCTGACATTAAGTCAAGTCATGTCCAACTCTGGGGGTTAGTGCTCATCTCCATTTCTAAGATGAAGAGCTGACATTGTCTATAGACACTTCCAAGGTCATGTGGCCAGTATGGAGTGCCGTTACCTTCCTGCTGAAGCGGTACGTATTGATCTACTCACATTTGCATGTTTTCGAACTGCCAGGTTGGCAGAAGCTGGGGCTAACAGTGGGAGTTCATGCCACATGTTTTTGAACTGCTAAGTTGGCAGAAGCTAAGGCTAACAGCGGGAGCTCAACCTTTCGGTAAGCAAATTCAGTAGCTCAGCAGTTTAACCCACTGCGCCGCGGGGGGGAGGGGGGGCTCTGGATAAGGCATTCGTTTACTTGAATGTGAGTGAAAAGCTCTTGCATGTATAACTTTAAGCACAAGGCTTAGCTGAGGGCCTTTGCATAGGACATAATTATAGCACTATAATATGGCAGATAGTATCGCATGGAAACTTGGGATTTGCAGCTCGGGGGGGGGGGGATTTGGAATTATCTGCCAGAAAGTTCCAGTGCCTCACTAAACTATAAAGCCCATTCCATGGGAAGCAGCCATGGCAGTTAAAATGGAATCATAGGGCGAGAGAGTATGAAAGTTTGCAGTGATTCTTTCAAAAAATGTCTTATTTTTAAAAGTAAGAGAACAGACCATATAGGGCAGATTATGTCCCCTTTTAAAAGACCCACTGTTCTCAAACCAGAGATACACATCATTGTTTTGATCCTAATTGTAGTCCTGTTTCTAAAGCTTCAGCCCAGTTGTGGACACTCCAGCAAGTCAGAAACTGAAAAGTAGGTAGTGTGGCACCCAGCAGATCTTTTGGACTACGGTTCCTATCAGCTTAGCCCACGCTGCGTATGACTGGCAACAATAACAACAACCATAATTAAAAACATGCAGAGAACACCAGATTGCATTTTCAATGTTTTAGACTAGGCCTGGGCAAACTTGGGCCCTCCGGGTGTTTTGGACTCCAACTCCCACAATTCCTAACAGCCTCAGACCCTTTCCTTTCCTTGCTCAGCTGCTTAAGGAAAGGGACTGAGACTGTTAGGAATTGTGGGAGTTGGGAATCCAAAACACCTGGAGTACCCAAGTTTGCCCAGGTCATGTCTAAAACATTGACGTTAAACAGTCAAGGGGAGAAAGGAAAGGGCCCGAGGCTGTTAGGAATCATGGGAGTTGGCATCCAAAACACCTGGAGGGCCACAGTTTGCCCAGGCCCGTTTTAGACCGATGTCCCCATGAGCCACAGACCATATGATGAATGGTGATGGGATGTGCGCTCCAAAAACTCTACTGTAAACAACACTACTGGGTGAATCTACAGTGCAAAATTAATACACTTTGACACCACTTTAACTTCAGTGCCTCAATGCTATGGAATCCTGGGAGTTGAGGCATCAACACTCTTTGAAAGAGAAGGCAAAAAGCTTTGTGTAAGATTAGAACTCCCAGGATTCCATAGCCTTGAGCCTTGAGCCACAGCAGTTTCAAGTGGTATCAAACGGTGTTAATTCCACAGTGTAGATGTGCCTTAAGTTAGAAATAAAGGAGGGGAAGCTTAGTATAAGGGAGTTTTCTATGTTAGGGACTAATGAAAGCAATAGGTCATAGAAGCCAGGGTGGAGAGCATCTTTCGGACCAAAAGATCTGCTAGGGCAGTGTTTGTCAATCTGGGGATTGGGACCCCAGGGGGGATCACAAGGAAGTGTCAGAGGGGTTGCCAAAGACCATCAGAAAATAGTATTTTCTGCTGGTCTTGGGGGTTCTGTGTGGGAAATTTGGCCCAATTCTATCATTGGTGGGGTTCAGAATGCTCTTTTATTATAAGTGAACGATAATTCCCAGCCATGACAACTCCCAAATGTCAATGTCTATTTCCCCCAAACTCCACCAGTGTTCACATTTGGGCATACTGAGTATTTGTGCAAAGTTTGGTCCAGATCCATCATTGTTTGAGTCCACAGTGCTCTCTGGATGTAGGTGAACTACCACTCCAAAAGTCAAGATGAATGCCCACCAAACCCTTCCAGTATTTGGAGTTCTGTGTGCCATGGGAGTTGTGTGTGCAAAGTTTGGTCCAGTTCCATCATTGGTGGAGTTCAGAATGCTCTTTGTTTGTAGATGAACTATAAATGCCAGTACCTACAACTCCAAATTGTCCAGGCCAATTCCCCTCAAAACCCACCAGCATTCAAATTTGGGAATATCAAGTATGCTTGCTAAGTTGGTCCAGATCCATCATTGTTTGCATTCACCATGCGCAACTACAATTCCCAGCAGATGAAAATGCATCCTGCATATCAGATATTTACATTATGATTCATAATAATAGCAAAAATTGCAGTTGTGAAGTAGCAACAAAAATAATGGAATCGCTGGGTTGTTGTAGTTTTTTCGGGCTATATGGCTATGTTCTGGAAGCATTCTCTCCTGACGTTTCGCCTGCATCTATGGCAAGCATCCTCAGAGGTTGTGAGGATGCTTGCCATTGTTGCAGGCGAAACGTCAGGAGAGAATGCTTCCAGAACATGGCCATATAGCCCGAAAAACCTACAACAACCCAATGTTATGGTTGTGCGTCACCACAACATGAGGAACTGTAGGAAGGGGTGGCGGCATTAGGAGAGTTGAGACCCACTATGTTGGGGCAACAAGAGGTTCTGACCTCCATCCTCGCCTATTTTAGCCCAAGAAGGTTTGGAGCGTCTTAAGGGGGAAGGGAAGGAGACCCTCTTACCTGAGCCAGAGGCAAACTGGGGGGATCCCTCGGGGAGCCGAGAAGGAGCGTCGGAGAGAGGACGAGGCACCAAGAGCGGGCTGAGCCTCCCGGAGTTTGGGCAGGAGCGGCCAATGGAGAGGAGCGCTTCTCCCCGAGCGAGCGGATCCCTCCCACCCCGAAGGATTTGGCCATAGAAGGCGAAGGAATGCGGAGCCCGGCGGTGGTGGCAGCAGCCCAGCTGTGGCGCGTCGGATGCGGGAGGATGGAGCCGAGAGCATCCGCGCCCAGGAACAAGCCCGCGGGAGGCGGGGAGAGCGGCTTTGGCCTTATATAGATGCAAAGGTCTCCGGGGAGGGCTTGCGAGAGCAGAGCCCAGGAAGCATCCCAAGCCCACGGCCCCGGCCCCTTCCTTTATAAGGCTACAAGCCAAGGGCCAAGCTCCCTCCCGATGGAGTTCCAACCATGGCATTTGGAAACAGGGAAAAACAGGGAGGGCATTGGCATGGGTGGCATTTTTTCCCCAACCCACCCGCTATTGCCTTCCCCGCAGTTCCCTAGTGCAAGATACAGCTATAGTTGGCCAAAGTTTTGTTTTTGTTTCACAAGAGCCAGCTGGGACCAACTTTGCACCCATCGCACGAGCTCCTCTTCTGGCGGGGAGAGGTACTGCAAGTATCCGGGACTCTTACTTTTTGTATTATAGTTGGGCCTCCATATCCACGGATTCAAACATCTATAGCAGGCATGGGCAAACTTCGGCCCTCCAGGTCTTTTGGAGTTCAACTCGTACAATTCATTGAATCATAGAGTTGGAAGAGACCTCGTGGGCCATCCAGTCCAACCCCTACCAAGAGGCAGGAAAATTGCATTCAAAGCCCCCCGACAGATGGTAATTCAGCCTCTGTTTAAATACCTCCAAAGAAGGAGCCTCCACCTCACTCTGGGGCAGAGAGTTCCACTGCTGAACAGCTCTCACAGTCAGGAAGTTCTTCCTAATGTTCAGATGGAATCTCCTTTCTTGTAGTTTGAAGCCATTGTTCCACATCCTAGTCTCCAGGGCAGCAGAAAACAAGCTTGCTCCCTCCTCCCTATGACTTCCTCTCACATATTTATACATGGCTATCATATCTCCTCTCAGCCTTCTCTTCTTCAGGCTAAACATGCCCAGCTCCTTAAGCCGCTCTTCATAGGGCTTGTTCTCCAGACCCTTGATCATTTTAGTCGCCCTCAATCTGGACACATTCCAGATTGTCAATATACTCTCTTGAATTGTGGTGCCCAGAATTGGACACAATATTCCAGGTGTGGTCTAACCAAAGCGGAATAGAGGGGTAGCATGACTTCCCTAGATCTAGACACTAGACTCCTATTGATGCAGGCCAAAATCCCATTGGCTTTTTTTGCCACTGCATCACATTGTTGGCTCATGTTTAACTTGTTGTCTACGACGACCCCAAGATCTTTTTCACACATACTGCTCTCAAGCCAGACGTCCCCCCATTCTGTATCTTTGCATTTCATTCCTAACAGAAATATCAGCCAATTCCTAACACTATTGCCTTCCCCGCAGTTCACTGGTGTAAGATACAGCTATAGTTGGCCAAAGTTTTGTTTTTGTTTCACAAGAGCCAGCTGCGACCATCTTTGCACCCATCGCACGGGTTCCCCTTCTGGTGGGGAGAGATACTGCAAGTATCCGGGAATCTTACTTTTTGTATTATAGTTGGGTCTCCCTATCCATGGAGTCAACCATCTATAGCAGACATAGGCAAACTTTGGCCCTCCAGGTCTTTTGGACTTCAACTCTTACAATTCCTAACAGCCATATCAGGAGCGAACCTATCTTCGTGATCCCATCTTCTCTTATGAAACAATGCGCACCCTGAGATCGTCTGGGGAGGCTCTGCTCTCTCTTCCGCCACTGTCCCAAGTGCAGTTGGTGGGGACAAGGGAGAGGGCCTTCTCGGTGGTGTCCCCCTGGCTCTGGAACTCCCTCCCTAGGGAGATCAGACAGGCACCCATTGTTGGACTTGCCCTTGTAAGCCGCCCCAAGTCCCTTAGGGGAGATAGTGGTGGGGTTTAAAAATAAAGTTATTACTACTACTACTACTACTACTACAGTGTAATGTATTTAAAAAGCAAACAACAACAACAAAACACGACGTTTGAAAACTTGGCATTATATTAAATGTCCTTTGACCAGTAGCTGGCCACTGGGAGTGCCTCTGGTGTTGCTATAAGAAGGTCCTCCATTGTGCATGTGGCAGGGCTCAGGCTGCATTGTAATTGATGGTCACCCGGAGGGCCAAAGTTTGCCCATGGCTGTCCAATAGCACTGCTTTTAAACTCTTAGCTCAGGAGTACTCCCCTTAGCTCAGGGATACTCAAACTTTTTAAGCAGAGAGCCGGTTCACAATTCCTAAGACTGTTGATGAGTCAGACAATAGTTTGAAAAAAATATGTATTTATTTCCAACATTTTCCCCCCATCTTTCTCAACCCCCATAGGGGGACTCAGGGCGGCTTACAACAGCAGCAATTCGATGCCGACAACATATAAAACACGTCACAACAACATTATAAATGAGAAAAAAGCATTAGATTAAAATACACTAAAATCCATTGGATTAAAATACGTTAAAACATTATTATTCATCATATAGCCAAGTCCAAATCTGATTTAGTAACTGATGACTCAGTCCAAAGCCTTTCATTGTCAGAGTTCAAGCATTGTGAATACGGCCAAACCTACTATCCAAAGGCCTGGACCCAAAACCATGTTTTGAGCTTCTTTCTAAAAGACAGGAGGGATGAAGCTGACCTAATTTCACTAGGGAGAGCTTTCCATAGGTGGGGGACCACCACAGAGAAGGCCCTGTCTCTCATCCCCGCCAAATGCGCTTGCGAAGAGGGCAGGACTGAGAGCAGGGCCTCCTTGGACAATCTTAAATTCTGAGGCAGGACGTAGAGGGAGATACGTTCAGACAGGTGAGCTGGGCCAGAAAAATATAGGGCTTTATAGGCCAAGACCAGCACTTTGAATTGTCCTCAAAAGCAGACTGGCAGCCAGTGGAGCTCACATAACAGAGGGGTGGTATGTTCCCTGTATTCCTGCACTGATCTTATTTGTAATGCAATAAATAAATAAAACAATCCAATATTTAAAATGAAGAACAATTTTAAACATCATAAACTTACAAGTACGAGGGTTATCCAGAAAGGAAGGTTACAATTTTTTTAAATACAAAGAATGAATATATTTTAATAAAACTTACTGGGATCATAGCATAGGTTTTACATTATTTTTCCACATAATCACCATTCGGTTCAATACATTTTGTCATCCATGGGATGAGTTTTTGATGCCTGTGTCATAGAAGTTTCCCTATGCCTTTTTCAGCAAATTTGACACTGTGATTTTCACCCCATCATCATCAGAAAAGTGTTTTTCACCAAGATGTTCCTTCAATTTAGTGAACAGATGATAGTCACTGGGTGCGAGAGTGGTAGCTTAAAACATCCCAACCAAATGAATTCAACAACTCTTATGTTGCATGAGTGGTGTGCGGACGCGCATTGTCATGAAGGAGACTGACTCCTGCCATCAGCATCCCATGACATTTGTTTTGGAAGGCTCAGAATCCCCAGGTAGCATTGGCCATGTTGGCTGGATAGTCGGCAGGTAACCAAAACATTACATTTCAGAAAGTGTGAATTAAATCAAAGAGAAGCTCTGTGTCATCTTTTTCATATCCTCTAACTGTCCCAAATTAATCCTCTATTATCCCACTTTTTTCAGCTGTTTTTAAGATGTCCCCATTTCTTCTTGGTCTACTTTCCTTACTGCAAATGGAGTTTGAAGTGCAAAAGTGCTTCACATCAATTAATTAAGGGGAAGAGGAAAGAAGGGGGCAGCAAATTGCCCTTCCCAGGTGAAAGCAAACTGCTGCTCATTTGCATGTTCTTCCTCATTAACAATTTTTGCCATTTCCAGGAATGTTTTCAGTACAACAGTGTAAAAATAAACCATGATCTCAAATCTTGCTTCTATCTCATTTGCCCTCCCCTTCCCCCAATCAGAAACTTATACAGAATTCTTCCCTGTCAATCCTTTGTCTATTCTTTTACTTAAACATTTTCCTCTACTTAATTGTCTATTTTAATAGTCATATCTTCCCCTATTCATTTATCCAGAATCTCAGTTGCACCAATGCCAGTGACCTATAAAACTAATAAATGGGTTCCATTTAGTTTCAAATAAATTCTCTTTTGTTTCTCCTCTCATTAATCTTACTTTGCATGTTAATTTTTCAAGCAGGACACAACCACAGGAAGCCTGATTTGTTGTTGTCTTCCTTGTTTACCTGTGTCATGTTAATTATTTGGTTTATTTGTTATGTCTATAAAGCCATTACTTAACTATAACTTTTTCCATCTTGACTACACTTTGATGCTGCTCGGTCACTTAAGTCCCAGTTTTCTTCTGTGCAATGTGGGAGGATATGTTTTCTTGTTTCTGTAGTTTTTGCCTGGGTTGTCTCATCCATTCACAACTTATTTATTAGAGCTTCAACAGGATGGTGGGATCATTTTTCAGTAGGAGGGTTGCATTCCCTCCTGGCTAAGAGGTGGGGTTGGGGGCGCATACCAGTGGTGGGTGGGATCAAAGACACCTTATCTTTAAGCTCCTAGTCTGAACTCTGCAGCCTTGAATCTAAAGAAACAGTGTGCTTCATCAGAACCCAGACAAAGGGCAAATTATATCAAGTTTCAAAAATAACGCTGCTCTGCTTGAGCTCTTTGTGTAAAACTTTAAACTTGTTCATCCAGATAGGCTCACGTGCAGCCATTGCTCCAGACCTTTCACACTGCTAAGGGGTAAAGGTGTAGATTGTTTCCTCTTCTTCTCCAGTCACTTCCTGAATCTCCTAAAAATTATGATACCACCAACTTTCAGAATGTCAATAATGGAGGACAATGCATGGGAATTGGGCTATTAGTCTAACTGAAGCTGTAGGACTGAAAATGAGTTTGTGATTATTTTTGAGCTGCTATTACTGTGGTTGTATACCTTTAAATTGTTTCCAACTTATGGCAGTCATAAGTACCATTATACAGAATTCACTAGTTATCAGTTCGTAAACCCACTGAGAAACTACCTCTTTTCAACAGGGATGCTTTGTGTAACTCATATCTAAATAACCATTAAGAGTAGTCACTCTTACTTTCTTTATAAATTTTTATGAGAAATCACCTGAGGAACAATTTAGATCTCACTTGACA